TCTCTCTCTCTCTCTCTCTCTCTCTCTCTCTCTCTCTCTCTCTCTCTCTCTCTCTCTCTCTCTCTCTCTCTCTCTCTCTCTCTCTCTCTCTCCCAGTAGGCGGGAGAGAAATGTATACTCAAATATTCATAAAACCAATGCTGTATTGCATAAAGATTCTGGCTTTTTTATAGGAAAAAAGGAAAGTCCCACACACACAAACAAGCAAACAACCAAACAAATTCACTCACACTCGTACACCAATACACTCGCAATCCCGTTCATATCAGGCACAGTTAATGCGAAAACATCAGAGATAACAATCTTTTAAACCGAAGCTGGCCGTCCCCTTTGCCTCCGGGCCAAACAAAGGAAGACACGAGAAGAGTAGAATCTGGGTAGAGAGAAGTTGAGTGAGAGTAAGCGAGATTTTTGATAAAATGAGCTGAGCTTTTGTTAGTGAGATTGAAATAAGGATGGATTTTTTTTTTTTTTTTTACTATAGAGCCGAGAAGAGTTGAATGGGAATAGTGAGAAGTTGAGTGAGAGAGTAAGCGAGAATTTGGATAAAATGAGCTGAATTTTTCTTAGTAAGATTGAAATAAAGAAGAAAAATAACTTTTACTATAGAGCCGCTAGTGTGTATGGATGAGCGCGTGGGCTGGGCGGTTCGAGGGATTCCTGCACCTCATTAACCGCCGGAGGAAGTCTGATGGTAATGGGGCGGCCAGGAGTAAAAGGGCGTTATGTTTTTCCGCCTTTCCATGAAATATGAAACAGGATCTGTGTTTGGTATTGGTTGTTTGTTCCTTAGGGTTATATCTTTTTGGTATAATTTGGATTTTCTCGATGTTGGGCATCCTTTACATCAATGATAGGAAATTATGTAAATGAGAATTAATTTTTATTAGAATCGTTTTTGGGAATTTCTGTTTGCATAAAAACGTTATTCTGTGAAAGATATATGTTTCAGAATTTCTGATAGCGAATTTAATGCGCGCACGATTGTACCTGTTATGTAAGACTATATACACTGATAATCCTAAAAAGGCTATAGTTAGGATAAATATTTTCCCCTTTATATTGACTCTACCTAAAAAAAAAAACTTTGATAGCTCTTGTGCTGTAAAAAACAACAATACAATAAAGGTTCTGGAATTATAGATTTCGTTTTTTATTTTGGAGTACTAAATTGACTATAATATTAACGAAAACCTCTGTAACGGTAACGATAAATTCCTTTCATCACACTTGTTGTTTATGATATAGATGGCGAATCAATTAATATATCTAGAATTCAATTTATCTGTCAGTATCTGACGGTGATAAAGGTCTACTACGTGCGAAGATGAATACAGATCCTCAGTAATGTAACGAAGGGGACTTTCATATAGTAATATTAAAACAATGTTCTAGGTAGGAAGTCCTGTATATTCCGACAGGATGAGATCACACTAGTAAAAATCTGCATAGGAATTTAAAAGAGAACCAATTTTAAGTTATCACAACCAAAAGCGGTTCGATTTCATCTGACCCTGAATCCTAGATGTTTACCTGCTTCATGCTTATAATTTCTGCATAATTGCAGGGCAGCTGCCCTAGGGAAATAACGCGCTATATTTGCATATATTTTCCTTGCTGATAAATGACGAACTGGCAACTTTAATGGTAATCCTGTATTACCTGGAATGACCTGACAATACCTGGGGTCAGTGTTCGCTGTTTACCGACAGCGAGAGTGGGAAGACTGACTTCAGTCAACTTACCTTTTGTTATCATAGACAGAGAGTTAAAGTACTCGTAATAAGCCAAGAGTAAAGAACACAGGAACCACCATGAGGTAAGTGAAATCGCGGGAACGTTTGTGAGTGAAATGAAACGTATTGGCCCTTGTCGGTCTGTGGCCTTTACGCAGAGAAACGTCAGTTTTGACAGTCAACATTTCATAGACATTTCTTACTGTCTATCGAATGGCGCTAGTGTATAGGAATTTCAACGCGGAGAACAAGGTCTACAAGGCGTTGTAAAAATGTGAATTTCTTTTACACAGTATTTGTCGCTAACCGTTTGATAGATCACATTTTGTGTTCCGTTAATCATTATTCCAGTTAGAATTATTGAACAACAATATCGATTTCTGTCGAGCTTTACAAAGCAGTATCAGTGTTGAAATGTGTGTGTGTGTGTGTGTGTGTGTGTGTGTGTGTGTGTGTGTGTGTGTGTGTGTGTGTGTGTGTGTGTGTGTGTGTGGTGTGTGTTGTGTGTGTGTGTGTGTGTAATATATATAATATATATTACTATATATATATATTATATATTATATATATATATATATATATATATATATATATTGTGTGTGTATTATGTATGTATATATACATATATAATGTATTTACATATAAACATACACACACACACAAACACGTACACACACACACACACACTATATATATAATTATATATCATAATATAATATTATATAATATATATTATAGTATATATATATGTGTGTGTGTGTGTG